ACATATGACAGCACTTTTGAAGGCCCGTTCACCAAAGCGTAGCATTAAAAATATTACTCCATAAGAGGCCTAATCAAATATAAATGAAGTCTGTAACATAAAAGGCTTTGTATTATGCATTGACCAGTATAAAATAAAATACCCAATGTATGTAATTTTTAAATATTTATTTTAAAAGATACAAATTTTATGACCACATTTTTAAATATTTATGTAATAAGTATAAGTGATATGAAAATTATAGTTATAAATTATAAATTAAAATTTATAAATTAAAATTTATAATTGAAAACATGGAGTCACAGCCTTAGCCCTAAGAAAATAACTAGGGCTGCAACTCTATGGAAATAACTAGGGCTACAGTCCTCCACGCTATCCACTAATATGGATGGCGCATATATTTCGCTTAAGTCAACAAGGGTAACTGGGACATTTTTTTCTAGGGCCGCAGTTGTTTGCACTATCCAATAACATGGGCAGTGCAGATATTTTGCTGAAGTCAACGAGGGTAATTGGGACATCGGTGTAAAGTGCTAGTTTATTTATTTAGTTTACCTACTGTATATGCAATGTCCGGCCTTATAAAACTCATTGCATACATTAAACTACCAATTATTCGTGCATACTCAATTTGAGAAATACATCCCCTTTCATTTTTCATTAACTTTATATGAGGATCCATTGATGTGAGTGCTAGCTTATTATGATGACTATACTCAAATTTGTTGAGCATTGCGTTAAGATAAAAAAATCATCATTTCTCACTATTTTGATACTAAGTATCACATCAGCTATTCCTAGATCCTTCACATCATAGTTAGATTTGAGGAACTTTTTGGTTTCCTCGACAATTTCCAAGTTACGTCCAACTATTAACATATCATCCACAAACAATTATATTATGACAAACATTGAATTAGTTTCTTTACTATAGATGCACTTGTCTACCTCACTTCTTTTAAAACCATTAGACAATGTTATATTATCGAATTTCTTATGTCATTGCTTTGGACCTTGTTTCCGTCAATACAATGATTTGACTAAGTTACACACTTTATGTTTCTGGCCCAGCATAATAAACTATCTTGGTTATTCCATATAAATTTCTTCGTCTAATTCATCATTTAAAAATACAGTTTTTACATCCATTTGGTGAATAATTATAAGGTTAACAAAGGCAAGAGCAAGTAGTACACGCATAGTAGATATTCTAGCAACCTGTGCATAAGTGTCAAAATAGTCTTTATATATTCCTTTTGTTTGAAATATTTGGCAACTATCGTGGCCTTATACTTGTTAATGGACCCATTAGTATTCCTCTCTCTTTTGAAAATTTATTCACATTTAATCGGTTTATAACAGGGTGGCAATTCTACTAACTTCCACGTATTATTAGCAAGAATTGAATCCATCTCACTTTCAATAGTCTCTATCCAAAAAGACAACATCATTAGACCTAGCGCTTCGCTTAAAGATGAAGGTTCCTTTCCGATTAAAGCCATGAATATTTCACGCAGCGCTTCTTTGCTTAGCCTTCACTTAGTGGATATAAAAATCAGGCCCAAAATTACATGATGGATCCTTTCTTGCTCTCTTACATCTTCTCAGTTCTACAACCTCTTCAACATGTTCATTACAAGTTTATGGTTCATCTCTTCTTGGAAGAGAATCATCACATGCTGGTTCACTTTTATGAGTTAAGTTCTCAAAGAATTATGAATCTCTGAATTTGATTATTGCATAAAACTTAGTTCTAGAAAATGGCATGCCTTACTATTTTGTGCATACCAAACAAAAAACACATCTAAAAGTTTGGGGTCCCAATTTATTTCTTTTTAGATTTGGTAATCTTATATATGCCAAAGAACCCCGCACTTTGAGAAAACGTAAATTAGCTTTGTTACTGAATTGGAACTCATAATGTGTTTTCTCTACTATCTTATGGAATTCAGTTGAGAATAAAACATACAAAAAGCAAAGATTCACTCATTGAGGGTGAAAGGAGCGATGACTTAGTGGATGATCCCATTGTTTTCACAAAAAGTAGAAAATTCATTTGATAAATAATCTCCAACCCAATCACTCACCACAATCTTAATTTTCACTCACCACAATCTTAATTTTACTCTCAAGTTGATTTTCAACTTAGAATTTATATATCTTGAAATTTTAATGGGCACATTTACTGATGCACACCAATCGTCCAGAGGACACACTACGAGTGTTTTCAACATTGGGGCACTATTCATCGAAGTACACCAAATTACTGAACCTCATTGTACTGGAAAAACTATAAATACCAATCTACATGAGGCTTTGTATGTGGCGGTAGAAAGTTACAAGGGCCACAAGCTCGACTCGCATACATGCTCAAGCGAGGGGTGCCAATGCAAGCATGTGTACCCTTTGTGCCCTCACACATGCAAGTGTGCACTCATTCATCGCATGCTTCATGTAGGCCTTATCTTCCTTTAGTTTTTAAAGCACAAGTGGCTATGATATTCTCATACTTAAATAATGTTTCTTTTTTGCACATGTTTAATGTGGGATAAATAACCCTACCCTCATCTCTCTACACATAAGACAAAAAACACAATTTCCAAGGCTCTAGACTTATCAATGCACTATGGAACAAGAGAGTTATTATTTGAAATAGCACAAGGTATTTTCTAAACCCAAAATACAACACTCTCTCTTCCCTTTCTCCTTTTGCTTAACTTCATTACCTTTTTATTCTACTTTGTTTCCTTTTCTCCATCTATTTATCTCTCTCTCTCTCTTTATCACATTCTCTCTTTCCCTCTTTATCACTCTCTCTCTCTAGCCTTTTTTTCCAGCTACCTCTGTGATCCTATTTTATAGGTAGACCTCAATTGTCTTCCTTTTAGCTCTTTTATCCAAGTTGGTCCTAGTTTTTGCGCTCTATACTCTCCTTCTTTTTGTTCTTCCTTACATAACTCTTGTTCTACTTCATCTTTAATCCCCTCTTGGGTTCCCTTTTTCAGTTGAGAGAGAGAGTTCCACCTTACTCCCTTCTGATTTGATCTATCTTGTAAATCTTATTTTTCGGTCGTTGGTTGTGTGCTACCACTCACTTGTGTGCCGCTATGGTTTTATGTTATTTTTTCATAGTGCTTCTATTTGGTCGGTTGTACAAAACTCCAAACGAGCCCGTGAGGTGATTGCTTATGGGATGTTGGATTATTATGATGTCATAGTGGGTAGACTGGAGTGAAGTTTGGAGGTTTGTATAGGGTTTATATGGATGTGTCTACTGTGGATTACTGGATTAGCAGGATTATAGGCATTAGGAGGTGTGGAACCTTCGAGGTTAGAGTTATGATATGTTTGGTGGCTTGGCTAATGATCCCTAAATATAGGGAATACTCTTTGTATCTATTTCTTCCTCTTTTACTATTGTATTTATGGACCTTTGCTCTCTTATATTAATGAAATTACTGCTAACATTTTAAAAAAAAAATGCTATATAATATTGAAATATAAGGTGTTTCCTATTTCAGATATGCTACATGCACTAGCAATTCACCATCCATCATCATTGAGAGTGTAGATGAGATATCTCAATGCATTTGGGCTTGTCAACTGTCAACTGAAAAACTACACAAACAATGTGTATGATATGCTATCCAATTGTAATTCCATAAATCACGTAGAGCGTGTTTATTTTGGTAGAAATTCTATGGGAGACTGCCAAAATATCTCCCGTGTTTGTTGCAAGCTTGTAGAAGCTGCAAGATGAAAGACCCGGCTTCTGCAAAAACATCTTTTGATATTCTTTTAGGAAGCCGTCAAGCCAAGTTTCCACGATTTGTTGTGTAAGGACAGGGTACACCAATGTGGCATCCACCGTCCATACCTAACTATGGGTAGCAGAAAAGTACTATGGTGGATATTCAATCCCCACCGTCCAAATTGGGAACAAGGGATGCTCTCATAAGATGGGCCATGCACCAAACGCTGCCGGTGACACACTGGACAATAAACACAGTAACATGATAATATTACTTTCCTTCCTTTTTACTCACCTCCCTTTCTTTCTTTGAAAATTTTTTATATAAGGTTGCATTTTTAAAATGTAAAATTAAAGATGCAACTCAAAAATCTATCGAAAAAGGTTGTTTTAATGTTGAAAAAACCTTTAATTGCTCATCTGGATATCGAGATGTATGAATATGAAAAAACAAAAAGATTGTCCTAGAATTAGTGCATCTTACAGCATATTATCTAGACTATCTATTTTCAAGATTTTCATATGCTTTTATAGATGTACTTGATTTTAACCATTTTTGGAGTTTAAAATTTTATAATTAGATATGAAAATGGATATTCAGATAATCCTAAGAATATTTTACCCCAAAATTATATATTATGATAAAATTTGGAAATAAGTACATCTTAATTGGATTGTTTAAGGTTATAGAGACCACACCCTTCTTTGTTTGCACATCTCATTGTACTCTTTTTCACTAATGAACGTTCGGATAACATTAAAAAAAAAAAATACAATGAACGTCTAACAAAAACATAAGCCAAAAGATTTTATGCTCATGCGAGACCGCACTGTATTTACTTCTTGTAAAATCTAATTTAGTGGTTATTTAGGATACCAAAATTTGGGGTAGTACATCATCAACATATAGGCTAACCTGATAAAATGAAAACTTCCAAATGCCATTTTCTAAGCGCTTGAAAAGAATGATGCCTCAAGATTAAACTAAGATTGTCCAATTTTTTTGAAGTCGAGATCTAACCATTATTTTATTTTATTGAAATAATCATGTAGTAATTCTTGGGTTGCTTTCAAAATTTTATGTACTAAAAAATCCTCCCAAATAGGCTTTCTGCCTGAAGGAGTAGATGGACAGTTATGCTTTCAGCAGGAACATATATACTCACTCAATAGTAATTAGGATGAAGTTTCTATAGGTCTAGTCTTTATGAAAATAAAATAAAGCCTCACTTCAAATTCTTACCTGAAGAGTATTTTTTGCAATAGCTTCAAATTCTTACCTGAAGAGTATTTTTTGCAATAGAAATATGTATGATAGGTCTAAATCAATTTCCAATACCGACAGTAGAATTTGAAACTTAAAAAAGGTACAGGGATCTATAAACGTTAATTTTAAGGTAAAATGGACGTCTTAGATAATTTATTACAATATATATGATTTTAGAGCTTAAAATCTAAATTTTTTTTACAACTAATATGTTGAAGCCCTGATGATCAGTTATTCGATGCTTGAATTGTAATTTTTGATGAATCATGGGGGTGATGAAGCTCTACTTACTTTGATAAATGGGTTGGAGCCCTGTCAAACCATTTTCCTAATAATTATTCGTCTTCTTTTTCTTTTTGGTGGCTGAGCCCGGGTTTGAACCTTAAACCTATCGAAGATCTGTCTCTTTCTCTACCGTTAAAGTCAGAGCTCTGAGCTTCCATGGCGTCTCCAATCAAGATGGACGAAAATGATGGAGATCCAGGCCTTGAAGAGGTAGCTTTTCCCTCCATTAATTCAGTTGATATTATGATGATGATGAAGATGCATGCCTTTTATTCGGTTAATCTCATTATTTGGAATTGGTTTGGAAATGCAATTACAGATATAGTGTTAAAAAGAAAAGAAAAGAAATTCAATTACAGGGAGTTTATGGTTGATTTCACGGTTTTAGGTCGTTTAATATGGAACAGTCCTGAAATTTTATTACATTGTGTTTGTGATTGTTTTATTTTTAGGTTGAAATTTTATTACATTGAGTTTGTGATTGTTTTATTTTTGAGTTGTTCATATGGAACTTGTTCTTAAACTATCAATTTATCATAGACTTAGGATTGGGATCTCTGTTTGTGCTTTTTAAGAATTACAGATTTTTTCTATTTCTATTCGATTGTTGAATTTGGGAATTAACTATATATCCAGATCCTTCCTGTTCTGTCATTTGCTTTTCTGTTCGATAATTAAAATTTAGAATGTGATAGTCTAGTTTTTAAATTTAGAATGTGATCAATCTAGTTTTATTGCATCCATTGAATTTCCCCAAGTGTATACAGTGCAACTGTTGCCTACAATATGCGTTGATCGGAATTGAGCTATGCAATTTGTCGTGTAAAAGTACGAACATTTTGGCATATTGTCTATCGAATGAGTTTTGTATACTTCAAAACTGGGCTTCTAATTCTTCATGTAACTAGAACCTGTCTCTTTGTCTTCATGATAGCATAGGTTCATGATTCATGATAAGATATGGCAAAGTTTCATGCTGGCTACAGACCTAACATAACCCACTTCTTAGACCATCCCTCTTTTTCCTATGTATCCTTTAATTTTATTGTTCCAAAAAAACCAAAAAAATCATTTTCGTTTCTTTTGTGAGGCCTAACTGTATCGGTTTGTTTAGTTAGTTTTCTAACCTTTGTTTGATAAAATTCTCAAAATTATTTTTCTTCCGTTTACCTTTTTCTTTTTGGAGTGCCATATTTTGATCTATAAAAGTCTGTTGGAGGCATTGCTGGTATCAAGCGTGAGTTGCTAGACCAATTTATGGGCTGTGAAGAATGTGTGGTGCCCTAGGAATCGAGGATGACTTAGTTATGGTTGTGCCGTACTTTATGAGTGTTGTAGTTTCTCAATCATTTTGGAATGGAAGTTATCAAATGTTTGGCATTCTGGTGTAAAGTATGCTGCATTTACGACCATATGCAAACTATCCAACTCTAAGTCTTTGATGATAGACATGATCAGGGCAAAGTTATTTGAAGTTTGCTGTTTTTAGGAGAGAACCTTATGTTTCCCGGTATCAATTATCTTTTCATATTACGATTATTAGGGTAGAACCTCATATTTTTTAGTCTCATAATTTTTAAATGGTTGTTTCATTTTCCTTGTTCAGACCCTATTTTAGTTTTGCATATCTCTCTGCATATCATCATCAATTTTCTAATAGACAATGCAATGATCTAGCATAATATTTAAAGCTGGAATAGGCGGGATTCCAGCGCTTTCTTCTTCATTAACCATTTGGCTGGTTCGTTCTTAAAATATTTGTTTGTCTTTGCACTACACATGCTTAGTATGCTGTTTATATGGTGTTTTTTTCAGAACTTGTGCATTAATGTGGACTAATGATCTTCCTTCTTTCGCAGCTTGAGGGGTTTGATGATTTCACTCTTGCCTCTGGATGGGAAAGGTGTGGTGCTCTTCTGTCAATAATCTATAGTGTTGTGGGATGATTGGAGAGAGGAAAAACTAATTGTCTAGTTTTGAAACAATGCAGGTTTATATCTGAAATAGAGGCTCCATGTCGGTTGTGGCTTCTCGATGGTTCAAAGAATTTGGTGGTATGCTAATTGTTCCTGACTAGTTAGCTACCTTACATAGAAACTTAATTGGGTGGAGTATTCATGTTGATCTGACATGGTATGCCACACATGTTACATCCTACATCCTTTGTTATTTCCTACTTTTTGTGGCTCAAGTTCCCTTAACTGGACTTCAATGCTCGCTTTATAATAACTTTTGTTTTGGGATACTCGCTTTATAATAACTTTTTTTTTTTGGGGGGGAGGGGGCGGGGAGGATCAATCATTTTGATTGTTTTATACAATTGCGCTGTATTTTCTTTACATGATGTTGTAGTCTCCTTTCAGGGAATTCCATATGGTAGGTACCTCTGTTGTCCATTTCTGTGTTAGTGTTTCTGTACCAGACAAATGATGGAGGGAAAAATTATACTTATTTTTAATTTCTATTCCATTTTTAATGATGTATATTTTGATAGCTAGCTACTCCACCAGAGAGTCATAGGTTCACATGCTTTGTCTACATTCTCCTATAATTGATTTCACATGTTCAAATGTATTGATATTAACTTGCTAAGTGATACTCTTTTCTATGGTTAGTTCAGTTGTAGGAATCCGATGTGAGATGAAGCATTGCTAATGTCAATTGCTAACTATTCAAGCCCAAGCACAATTCCTTTGTTAAGTGATACTCTTTGTTGATAGCTGTTTTTTGGATTTAATACACTCTAATTTCGTTTGAAATCTTAAAGTGATTTTCTTTTGTTTATATTTCTTGATTCTCTACTTATTGTTGTTATAATTGTTGTTATTGCTGTTGTTATTGTTATTATTATTATATTTTACTGTGATTCTACACCATCATTTATGCATATCAGCTTGGTGCCATCCCTTGTGAAGCTTATCTCATGTGATTGAACAGCTATTACAGGCAGCTTTTGATTGCTTCTCTCTTGATGGTAGGGTAAGGGTGCAGAGCTTGTACTTGCTCCAAAGAACCTATATAAGGTCAAATGTGATGTAAAGTATGGTATGAAGTCTTACTGCATGGAGTACTATTTTGAGCTTGAGACACATGGTAATATTTGACTTTTCTGAATAGTATAAGTTTGATTCTTGGACTTCATATTTCTGAACTTTTTTTGTGTTTGTAAACTTATGTATTTGAAGATTTTTGAATTCGCTTTGTCTAGGAAAAAGTGATTGGTGGAAAGATGAAGTGCACAATTTGCAACTATCTTTTGGAATTACAGAGTTCTTGGTATGTATTGTTTATTGACATTTAGATGTTAGAGATAAACCACTTGTGAATGCTTTTTTAGTTGCATATCAAATCAAATCCCAATATTTGCTACCTTCTAAACCATATGATGACCTTTCTTTACTACTATTGACCTTTTTCTGGTTTTGACTGAACTTACTAAAGGATTCAGTTTTGACATGAAAGGAAAAAAAAAAAATATACGGTCCAAATCAAAAGTTCTCTCTCTTCTTTTATTAATATATCTGAGTTATAGTTACAGGTACTATAAAACAATACTATGTAATAAACACAACCTTAAATATAACCTAGGATCTTTCTTTTTACTGCCAAATAAATATGACTCAATCCAAGGGCTGATACAAACTTTACCTATGAATTCTAATGTAAATAATGCTCCTGGAATTTGCAATAAATTGGGCAATAATGATTGGAAATAAACTAAGAACAGCCAGGAAGACTTACTTGACTTTGCCTAGGTTCACCCCCTTAAGACTCGATACACCCCACCCCCGATTCACTGATTAATAAAGCACTCTGATCCTAATGGCCCTGCTGAATTTTTTGAGTCGGGAAGCTCCTTAGGCAATTCCTTTTCCAGATCTAAGGTTTGAGACCAAAAAACAAGCATAAGGTTTTCCTATACCTTAGAATTTTTCTAGGGTATGCCACAAATGGTACCTCCTTTTTTATAAAGTAGGCTGGGCGTGCCCCTCTCTTCTTCCTGTGAGTGGACGTATCACCCCTTAGAGACCAGAGAGGGAAGAGAGAGAGAGACATATAGAGAGATAGAGAATGATGTGGATGAGAGAGATGGAGAACGAGAGGTTGAGAAAATTCAGGTGGTCAGAATTGGTTGGGGGGGGAGGGTCTTGGTATGTCTATCTAATTTGGAATTCATCTTGGCCATAGGACTCTTAGGTAATTTGTAAGGTGAGAGACAACTCCGAGCCATCCATCCCAAAAATCAACCATCATGATTTAAAAAGGAACTAGGAACTTTATCCCTTGAATCTTTGATTCACATCCACTTCTAGCCAACCTAGGACAAGATTAATCAAAACTCATCTTCTATTTTGACGAGAGTTTCCTTTACTCTTACAAAAGATTGTAGGAATTCAAAGTAAAAAAGATTTGGTTAAAATCAAAATATTGAAATAATATTGTCCAAATACCAAATATTCTCTACTTCCACAAAATATGGCCAACAAATCTTTTCAAAGATTTCCTCAAAATAGCCTTTGAAAAAAAAAACTTCTTTTATTTTAAAAGAATTTCAAGAAGAGAGGATGGGAGTGTTCCACCTCTGTGTGACGTGGGGCCCATAAGCACCACGTCCCATACATGTGTGTGTGGTGCATGTGTGGGGCTGGATCCAAAAGCTCCACCGTGTTCTTCCTGGCTCCTCCACAATTCAAGAAATTTCAAAAACGCCATTTGAAAAGTGATTATCAGGGCATTCCACCCGACACAGTAATCGTGATTCTCGTCTATCTTCTCAAACAAACCCAATGAGACCCATGACCCACACTCTCATGTAGGGGTTATGATTGACTTGTCAAAGCTGGTCAATAAATGGTAAAACTATTGTCCTGTAATGTGGATTACAGGTTTCCCCTATAAGAGTAAGTGACACACTGATCACTATAGTGCAAGGAGACTCTCTCTAAGCACATACACACTTATCCCTTCGCGGGTTGCTTTCCAGAATGCAAAGCTGTTATGTGTGCATATCGTGCGGAAGTTTATAGAGGATTTAGGCCTTGCTCTCACAAGCCTGCTCCACACACAGGAGCTACAATGCTCTCATCGCTTACAAACCATCCCTAAGCATATCTGTGACTTCAACAAGGGATGACCATTTGAAAATCCTCTTCAATAGTGCCATATGCCCAGTGGTAAGGGTTTTGGATATGACTAGGGCCATAGACCGCCCAAACCTAGGTTAGTCAACCAACACACATTACTCCGACTGAAGTGTACAATCCATTATAATTTGTTTATTTACATTCTCACATGGGCTTTAAAAACCACAAATCCCAACATCGTGGACATTTTTTTAGGCATGTTTTGTATCTAAAAACTAAAAACCTCCATCAATGATGATATATGGTACTTGTCTGCCAAACCTTATGGCTTAACAGCGACATTCTATTTGCAATGAGAGAGGTGTTGGATTTTAACCCTCTCTCTACTAACTATCTCTATTGACCTACCCAAAGGAAAGAAAAGGAGATAGATGGTTCCTTAATAGCTTTAGAATCTTATGTTGCCCATCTAGTTGATCTTTTCTTACAATTTACACTGCTTAATTCGAATCAATAGATGCAGCTTGTTGATGAGGTTTCTTTGGAAGAGATAAAGGCTTGTATATGGGACATGAAAAGTGAGAGTGCTCCAAGTCTGAATAGTTTTACCATTAATTTCTATAAATGCAGTTCGGAAATGATAAAAAAAGACCTCTTTGTAGCCTTGAAGAACTTCTTTAGGAGAGATAAATATCTCAAACAAGTCAATTCTATCTTCATTTGCCTCATCCCTAAAGTTAATTCCCCAAGTGTTTTGAAAGAGTTTAGACCAATTGGTTTATGTAATGTTCTGTATAAGATCATTAGCAAAATCATTTCTTCGCTTGAGGGAGGTTTTGGGTTCGCTTATCGATTCTAGATAGGCAACATTTTTGAAGGGGAGACTTATTTCAGATAATATTCTGATGGCCAATGAATTCATTTCACTGAGTCATAATCTAAACCAAAGATGTTCTTACAATTTCTTTAGGTCAAATTCTTTGCAATTTCCAGAATACAAGTTTTGGATCCTGCTTTTGTAATTATTCTTTTGCCAAGATTAAAGAGATTATAAATGCAAGAGAATCCATGAGTTCTACCTTAATCATCTTGCTGCTTGTGTGTCTTTCAGAAGACAATCCACAAGGTTGAAGGTAATCAAACATTTATGATTAAAAAATTTTCCTCTATAAGGCAGATTGAGAAAGATTCCAATTAAATAAAGCATCAATAATTTGAATAGATGTTGGAGCTTGTATTTATCAAAAAAAAAAAAGATGTTTGAGTTTGTAAAAATGTTAATTACCTGTACAAGATGCAAGACATTGAGCTGTATGTTTTTTACATTATGATAATGCTAAAAAGTATCTTTCTAGAAAATTTCAGAATTATTTTGCTCAAAATGGGATTTTACACCAAACATCTTGTGCGCATACTCAACAGAATGGGGTTACTGAAAGGAAAAATCAACATTACTTGAAGTAGCCCATTCTTTGCTCATTAATATACTTGTCCTAAAGGTTTTTTGGGGAGATGCCTTGCTGACCTCATGCTATGTAATTAACCGTATGCCTTCCTCTGTCTTAAATGGGAAAACACCACGCTCACTTCTCTTTGTTGATGCTTCACTGTTTGTTGTTCCTCCTTGAGAGTTTGATGTGTTTGCTTTGTTCATATGTCCGGTATTGGTAATGATAAGCTAAATCACTGGGTCTTTCTTGGTACATCCTGGTTTATGAAGGAAATTTGTTTCTGTTGATTTAAGTTGTTTTGAAAATATTCCTTATTTCTCGGAAGAGTCGTGTGCTTGATGCAAATATTTCTTATCCTGCTTTTGAAGAAGTCTAAAAGTCGTTGCCTTTAATGATTCCTCTTCCTATTCCTATTGATACTACTTCTCCTCCCCAGTTACCCGTCTCCTCTAAGGGGTCGCTTGGATACCTGGAAATATATTGTCCGTGAAATATATTACCGGTGCAATACATTACCTGCAAATGGATTGTCACTGTTTGGGTAGTATTTAGATGCAACTTAGGAAATACATTGCTACTGTTTGGCTATGTCTGGAAGAGATATGAGAAATGCATGACCATCCAAATATGAAAAATATGGCTATGTTTGGCTAACATGATTAGACTTTGGTTTCAACATGATAAGTCATTGAAATAATATGATTGGAATAACATGATTTTATTGTGATAAGCCTTATTTTTATTTATTTTTTATAGAAGTCTTTCAAATATCTCTCTATATATAATTTCAAATAAGCAATAAATTTATGATACCAAAATCAAAATCTTTATGGTACAAGTTAAAAAATGGGAAGAAGTTTGATTAGTAAACTAGAAGGTTTGGTAATTGTAGTAGAAAATTTTGAAGTATTGGAGGAGACTAAAGAGGTAATCTTATTTCAGTTGAGCTTTTACTATTCGCTTATGAGGATTATGTTGTGTGAAATGTTTTATTATGATTGTGTTGTATAATTTCTCATCGATTGCCAATTATTATTTTTATTATTTTTGTTTTTATACGAGAGCTCATGGTGGGCTACAACCCAAATTGGGGATAGAGGGATGTGGAAATTTTTTTATTATGATTGCAGTAGATAATTTTCCTTCATCAAGTTCTACAACTATTGAAATCAGTTTAGATTTTCCCTTACTTTCACTTACCAATTATTAAAATTTTTTGTTTTTATATGAGAGTCAGATGAAGGCTATAACCCCAATTGGGGATAGAGGGATATAGAAATTTTTTATTATGATTGCAATAGAAAATTGTCTTCGTACATCTGTTCAAATCAATATAAATTCCCCTTTTCATATTCCCTACTTTCACTTTCTACTTAGCTTAATAATTATACAATACAACCTGTACTTGCGACAGGGAAATGTTTTTTTAAGCAGGGATAAGGCAGAGAGACGCACGCGAAAGATTTCCAAAGATTACCCGTCAACCTCGTAATTGATTTTTCACCTTTCAACACGCGTAATGGATTTCATGATTTTTGGAGAAATCTAGGGTAATCACGCGTAATGAATTTCGTGATTTTTGGGGAAATCTAGGGTAATATTGGGTAATCTCTTTCAATTTCCTTGCTATTAAAGTGTACCAAAACAATGTAAATGTCATATTTCCTTGTAATCTATTGTCACGTAATAGATTTCTGCATACCCAAACGGCCCCTAAGTCTAGTACGTCTACATGTCATGT